GATAAACTTTACATGACATAACTAGAAAGGTCTGACACATTTGAACAGAGTCACAAGGTTTGTAAGTTTAAGAAGTCTCTATATGGGTTGAAGTAGTCTCCCTGGAAGTGGTACAAGCAGTTTGTCAATTATATGTTGAAGTTTGATTATAAGCATTGTGATTATGGTTGTTGTGTTTATGTGAGAAGTCTTGATGATGTTTCTTTTCTTTTTCTTCTACTTTATGTTAAAGATATGTTGATTGCTTCTAATCATTTGAGTAATATCAATGAGATGAATATCATTCTGAAAAAGGAATTACATGAAATAATTTGGTGCTACTAAAAATATTCTTAAGATGGAGATTTACACGGATAGGGCAGCTAGAAAGCTACAACTCTCCAACCAAAGCTATGTTGAGAAGATCTTAGAGAGATTTGATATGAGCAATACTAAAAGTAGTGAGAATCTGTTGGAAAATTACTTCAGTTAGTCAAGTGTGCAAATACATGTCCAAACTAGGGAATCATCCGAGTGAATTTTTAGATATTTGAAATAGACTACTAGTCTGAGTATCAAGTTTGGCAGCCAACAAAGTAAGCTTGGAGCTGCTGATTATGTTGATTCATATTATGCAGGGGACTTGCATGATAGAAGGTCAACAATAAGGTTTAACTTCACCCTTGCAGGAGGACCAATTATGTGGTGATCATCAGTTCATTGTTATGGAGCTGGTAAATGTTAAGTGCCTTATTTCGAGTAAATTGCATATGATTTGGGGGCACTTATCGTTGAACTTTGATGAAAACATTAACCAAACTCTTAAGAATCTGGTATAATTAGCTTGGTCTAGAAAACTTACAAGATTATTGTCAGTTGCAGGTTAATGGTGATTGGAAAAGGTGGAAATTGGAAGAAATTGAAAACGAGTGCTAAAAGCCAACTTAATGCAGAATTCTCGCCCAAGCGAGAGGTTGATTCCACAAGCCACACCCATTGAAGGATTCTCGCCCAAGCGAGAGACATATTTCTCAAGACACACCTACTGAAGGATTCTCGGTCAAGCGAGAGACATGGACTCAGTTACGTTATAATTCTCGCCCAAGCGAGAATTTCTAACTTGAGCGAGAAACCAAAAGTCTGAAACAAATATAGGCGGTTTCCAACAGATATGGGGGTTACCTTTTGCCATTACAGAGTTTTCCAAAAGTTTTCTAGAGAGAGAAGCACGAAGGAGAAGGGAAAAAGTTGTGGGAATGACCCAAGCCTGGATTCTTATAATTTTACGCATTTTCATTAGTGTAATGTGTAGAATGAGCAGTGTGACACCCTAATTTTAATTGTCTGTGTATAGTGAAATTTTGGGGTATACTTTGTTATTCTCGCTTGAGCGAGAGGGCCTCGCCCAAGCGAGAGGCCTAGTATCTTCTCCCAGGATTTCCTGGGATTCTCGCCTGGGCGAGATGTGGCTCGCTTGAGCGAGAATTGGCTCGCCTGGGCGAGGGAGAGTGTGTTGACACTGAAGGATCCTCGCTTGAGCGAGAGCGTCAGATCTGAAATTTTAAAAAGACGGGATTTTCTCGCTTGGGCGAGAATGGGCTCGCTTGAGCGAGAACCCGAAGATTTCACTTTAAAATAGAAACCCTAAAACACTTTTAGGGTTAGAAATTGAGAGAGAAGAGAGAAGAATGTGATTTTGGGAGCAAGAACTCGTGGGAATCATTTAGAAGCTCGAGAAGAGGTAAATCTCTTGATTCTAACTCTCTTTCTCCCTTGCAAACTCATTTTTTGGTGTATGAGATCTCTTCTAAAAACGTGATAAACCATGGAAACTCATCCTTTAGAGTTATGATTCGTTTTATGTTGTTTTTCTCTTGTAAACTCTTGGTTTAGAGTTGGTATTTGATAAATGGAAAGGTTTTGTGGATTGATTCATGAAAACCAAAAACCTCCAAAATGAGAGTATGAGTAAAGAGGGAAATGGGTAAAATGTTAAAGGTAGTAGATGATTATATGTTCTAATGATGAATATGTAGGTTTTAGATGTTTGGAAACTCTTAATGAAAGTAGTTTTAGAAACATTGAAAAGGTGTGAATCCCTTGTATGGTTAAAGATGAAATATGAGTTATTTATGTGTTATTTTGAATACATGACTAACATTGTTCTTATGTGGTGGGGATGAGGAAAGATCCTAAGGTTGGAGGCGGTTTAGGAGGAACTTGCAAAGTTACCAAGAACCAAACCCAACACTCACCAAGGTAAGGGATAAGTGTCTCCATTATTTATGAGATGATGGAAACATGGTATGAGTATGAGTCATTATGTTTGTAAGAATTATAATGTGGACCTACCCGAAGTGGTATTGGATTATCGTGTAATGTGGACCTACCCGAAGTGGTAGTGGATTATCATGAGCTGTAGACCTACCAGAAGTGGTAGTGGATCATTTACCACCTATTTGGTGTGGGCCTACCCAAAGTGGTAGTGGATCATCATTGTGTTGTAGACCTACCAGGAGTGGTAGTGGATCATTGATCACCTTTATGGTGTGGGCCTACCCGGAGTGGTAGTGGATCATCGTTGTGTTGTAGACCTACCAGGAGTGGTAGTGGATCATTGACCACCTATATGGTGTGGGCCTACCTAGAGTGGTAGTGGATCATCGTTGTGTTGTAGACCTACCAGGAGTGGTAGTGGATCATTCACCACCTTTATGGTGTGGGCCTACCCGGAGTGGTAGTGGATCATCGTTGTGCTGTAGACCTACCAGGAGTGGTAGTGGATCATTGACCACCTTTATGGTGTGGGCCTACCCGGAGTGGTAGTGAATCATCTTTGTGTTGTAAACCTACCTGAAGTGGTAGTGGATCATTGACCACCTTTGTGGTGTGGGCCTACTTGAAGCGGTAGTGGATTATCATTGTGGTGTAAACTGGCCGGATGTGGTTAAGAGTAATTTAATGTCGATTGTCGGTAATCGATGAAATGAAAGTGCCTTGGAATGAATGAATATGCACGCTATAGGATATATATATTATGGGATATATATATATTATAGGGTGAATATGGATTAAAGGAGACTAGAAGAAAAGAGATATGAACACTTATATTCACGTATTTAAGAAATATGTTTCCTTTCATTGTATATATATATGTTTATATATTTAGAATGTGGATTATCATATGTGGTTATTATTGAACTAATGACTTACTCCCTTATGTTTCGTGTGTTGCAATGATAATCTCATTGTAGGTAAACAGGGTTGTTGAGGATGCTTGGTGTGATACTTTAGGAGCTTAGCACCTGAGTTCCTTTATCTTTCAATTTTTGTATTATGACTAATTATATGCTACATGGATAATTGTAACTCTGGATGTTGTAATATTGATATTTGTAGCTATGGGTACTTTGGAAACCCATAGCTTGTTGTATGCGGTAATTACCGGAAGATAGTAATATGAATTATGTTTTTCTGCAATTAAGGGTAGCATGGCATGAAACTGAAATTGTATGATTAGAGTTAATAGATAATTAAAGAAATGGATGATTTAAAAGGTATAAGAAATATATGTGGGATGTAACGTAGAAATTGAGTCTAGAAGATTAAAATAACAGAAAAAATTTCAAGGGTAGAATTTGGGTCCTTACAAGCAGCTAACTTCTCAGTGTTCGGGTTGAATATAATCTTCTAACTCTTGTATTCTTGGATTCAATTCAATTTATATTCAGTTATTTGATTTTGGAAATCTTAATCTTTGCTTAATATTTGATTCTATTTAGTTACTAGAATCCTAATCTTGTATCCATGTTTAACTGGGAAGTGAAACGTGTGGTTGAATCCAGATAACTTTTCTTGATGCCTCATTGATCTAGGAATAGACAATGATGCATGAATTTCTTATACATCAGGTTTAATGCTAGATAATTTGTCAAATAACCAAGGGATTGGAATTTGAGGAATTATCTAAGGATTTTGTAATCAAGGAATTGATACAAATGATCTGTGATGTGCATCGAGATCTATAACCACAATAGATTTATATAATTGAATCTAATGTTTACAATGAGGAAGAATGATGAAAGTCAATCCCAACCATTTTTATCGAATCTTTTATTAAACCTTTTAAGAAAATATAAAAATATTCGATGACTTTTATCAAACCCAATAATTGTAAATATTTACTCAATTTATACTTTTATAAATAAACATAAATCTGATTTGCTTACTGAGGACGATATCCCGATATTTACCGGATTTTATTACTTGGGAGATACGGTACACTTGTCGTACGAAAATATCTAACAAGTTTTTGGCACCATTGTTGGGGAACAATATGCTATTTATATTAAAGATCTGGAAATATTTTATTGAGTAGTGTGAATAATTTTTAATTAAATTTTGTTTTTATTAATTTCTGTGCAAACCCTTGCTGTACTCTTCTCATTTATGCTTTTGAGAGGAAAGGCTACTGAAGATCAATTGTAGTTTAATCCTGAGATTGAAAAATCAGCAAAGAGTAACAGAAAGAAGGCAAAAGCTAAGAAGAAGCATGGTGCACAGTCTAGTTCTCAACAGACATCAATTTTGGACACTCAATCCATCAAGATGGAAGATACAAACACTCCTCTGGGAAATACTGAGAGGACTAAGCCTCCAAGAAGGACATTGAGTGATTATTCTATGTACCAAGGTCCGAGGCATTATTCAAGCATTGTCATTCCGCACACTGCAAAGGCAGTGGAAATCAAGCCAATTTTTCTGAATTTGATCAATGCACATCAATTCTCTGGGAAGGATTATGAAGATCCATATGTTCATTTGGACAACTTCTATGAATTGGTGGCAACTATGGGGTACAATGATAATGAAAGAGAAGCTGCATACATGATGTTGTTCCCGTTTTCTCTAGTTAATGAAGCTAGGGAATGGTTAAAATCTCATCAAACCCAAAGCTTAATCAATTGGAATGATCTGGAATCAAAGTTTTTGACACGTTTGTTTCCACCAGCTCGGTATGTGAATGCAAAGATCGAAATATCAACAATCTGACAAGGTGCCGATGAAGCCTTTTATGAAGCGTGGGAGCGTTTCCAGGTGCTACTGAGAAAATGTCCTAATCATGGTTTTGATGATGTGGATCAACTCAACATATTTTGCAATGGGCTGAAACCTGAAACCAAAATGATTCTAGATGCAGTAGCCGGTGGAAAAATGATGGTTGTTGATGCTGAACAAGGTACAAGAATAATAACTGCCTTATCGTCTACAGATAGGCAAGCACATCATAATTGGTGGTCAGCTCAGAAAAGAGGAATGATGGATCTGAATACTTTTGATGCTATTCTGGCACAAAACAAAATTCTGACACAACAAATTGAAGCACTGACAAAGCAAATGTCTAAGTTGCCTAATCAATTGCATGTTGTGCAATCTACTCCAAGTCAACAACAGGTGTTGAGATGTGAGTTTTGTGGAGGTGAGCATGCAACTGGTCACTGTGCAATTCCAAGTAACAGTCAAGAGGAAGAAGTTCAGTACATCAATAATCCACCTCGACAGGGCAATTTCCCCAACAACACTTCATACAATGGTCAATTTTCACAAGGTTAGAGGGGTAATTAGAATCATAATCATGGTTGGAGGCCAGAGTCGGGATCATCAAACAGACAACCACCTTATCAGCAACCATTCCAACAAGGTCAGCATCCACCAATGCATGAAAGGCAAACTAAACTAGAGGATACATTAGAGAAGTTCATGCAAGCCTTAGTGACTAGCCATAAAAATACTGAAGCATCTATCAGGAATTTGGAAACACATGTGGGTCAGTTGGAAAAACAGATGGCAGAACAAAGTTCATATAGCCAACAGTTCTCAGCTAACACTCAAACCAATCCTAAGGAACATTTCAAAGCCATTACTACTCGGAGTGGAAAGGTGATTAGTCCAGATTTTGGTAAGAATTTGACAGTAGAGGAGGATGTACTTAATGATGAAAAGAGTGAGGGAGAGAAAAATGAGTCTGGAAAGTACAAAGAAAAAGAAAATGTAAATAGTGGGCAGGTAGAGCAGAAGAAGAGTGATCTGCCACAAATGAAGAATCTTCCGGATCCGAAGAATATTTTGTAAGAAGGATAAGGAGAGACAATATACAAGGTTCATGGATATATTCAAGAGCCTTCAGATCAACATACCTTTCATGGAGACTATGGAACAGATGCCTACTTATTCCAAATGAAGGATTTGTTGACAAAAAAGAGGAAGTTTTCTGAGGAAACAGTGACGATGGAAGTTGGATGCAGTGCAATTATTCAGAAATCTTTGAAGGAAAAATCTAAGGATCCGAGAAGTTTCACAATACCAGTCACCATTGGGGAATTATCTATGGGAAAGGCACTACTCGATTTGGGTGCTAGCATCAATTTAATGCCCTTGTCCATGTTACGAAGAATTGGAGATGTGGCAGTCAAGCCTACAAGGATGACTCTGCAGCTTGCAGATAGATCAATGAAATATCCTTATGGAGTTGTAGAAGATGTATTGGTCAAGGTGGATAATTTAGTCTTTCTAGTTGATTTTGTGATTATGGATATAGAAGAAGATACTGAAGTTCCACTGATTATGGGGAGGCCTTTCATGAAAACTTCCAGGGTAATTATTGATGTTGATGAGGGCAAGTTAAAGGTCAAAGTGCAAGACGATATCGTGAACTTTAATGTCTTTGAGGCAATGCATCATCTGAAGGATAAACAACAATGTTTCAGGGTGGACGTCATGGATGAAACGTATATGAAAAAGGATATGTAGTTAATAGAGGCAGTCCCTTAGAGAAGGTATAACTGATGTTGCTTATTACCAAGGAAGTTGACTAATTCCAACCAGAAATCACACTTTGACAACTTTGCGTATAACTGATTCTTACTCAGAAGATCTAGAACTATTCTCAGGTGCCCTGCATGTTCCTCTCGGCTCTTGGAGTAAACCAAAATGTCATCAATAAATACCACTATGAATGAATCTAAATACGGATGAAAAATCCGATTCATGTAGTCGGTAAATATTGCTGGGGCATTCGTCACACCAAAGGGCATCACCAAATATTCAAAATGCCCATACCTCGTCCTGAAAGCAGTTTTAGGAATATCCTCCGACTTAACTCGGAGTTGATGATAATCTGACCGAAGGTCAATCTTTGAAAATACCACCGCTCCTCTCAACTGATCCATCAAGTCATCAATTCTAGGCAACGGATGCTTGTTCTTGATAGTGACCTTGTTCAACTATCTATAATCGGTGCACAACCTCATACTCTCATCTTTCTTCTTAACCAACAAAACTGGTGCACCCCACGGTGAGACACTAGGACGAATAAACTTCTTCGCCAACAAGTCTTCAACCTACTTTTTTAACTCAGCCAGCTCTAACGGTGCCATCCTATAAGGAGCTATAGAGATGGGTCCCGTTCTAGGCACTAACTCAATGGAGAATTCAACTTGTGTGACTGGAGGTAATTCCGGAATATCATTATGAAACACCTCAGGAAACTCATGAACGATCGGAATGTCCTCAACTCTGGGTTTCTCAGTACCCTCCAAGGATACCAGCAAAACAAACACGACACTTTCCTCCTTAAGGGAAGTCCTGACTCCCTTGGCCGACAACGACTTCATAAAACCAACCTCATCAGAAATCTCACCCAAGTCTCCAAACACAACGGTTTTATCAGTACAATTAAGCATCACATGATTTGCTGATAACCAGTCCATTCCCAGAATTAAATCTAACTTGGACAGTGGTAAGCAAATTAAATTCACGGTACATGACCTACCGATTACCACTATCGGACATCGAGACACAACCGTCGATACCACCACAGGCACACTAGTTAGGGTGGATACGACCAAGTCGAAAGGCAACGACTCTGTTTGCAATTTCAGGCGATTCACACATTCAATAGATACAAAGGAGTGTGTCGCTCCTGAATCAAACAATACTAAAAGAGGAATACCTGCCACCATGCAATTACCTTGGATGAGGCCATCCACATCTGATGCCTCTGCACCACTCATGGTAAACACTCTACCAGTAGATCGAGGTCGTTTAGTCCTCGCATCATACACATTCTTCCGTAACTTAGGACAATACCTCCTAATATGCCCAACCTCCTTGCAGTGAAAGTAGCTAAGTGTCGTTCTGGGGCACAAATCACCGACATGAGTTCGGCCACATTTGCCGCACAAGGATGGAGAGTTTAATTGTGACCCTTCGACATTGGCATGAGTCTTCGGTCCATGCGAAGTATATCCCCGACTACCAGTGGGTGGAGAATAAGGCATTCGTTCCTCTAGAAACACCTTACCCTTGCCCTTCCCATGCATAAGGTTCGTTTGAGGCCCAAATTGCCTCGGGGGATTTGTGCGAGGAGTCACCACCTCATAGACTGTCAGGTCATCCGCATACATTCTGCACTTGTTTAGCAATGTAGCAAAATCAGCAATCTCTTGATGCCCAAACATACCTTTCAACTTGGGCTTCAAACCCGATTCAAACTTAGAACATTTGGATCATCCTCCCACCTCCAATTCAGCATATGGACAAAATCTTGCCAATTCCTCGAACTTGGCCGCGTATTCTCCCACTAACATGCTACCCTGCTCCAATATCAAAAACTCTATATCTTTCTTCCTCTTCAGATCAACAGGAAAATATTTCTGAAGAAATTTCTCCTTGAATGCAACCTAGGTAATCACTTATCCCTCAGTCTCTATCTGACGCCGAATGAACTCCCACCATGTTTCAGCTTCCTTAACCAGCATATAAGAAGCATAGGCCACTTTCTGAACATCATTACAATCCATAGCTCGGAATATTCGTTCCAAATCTTAAATCCACTCGTTTGAAGCATCAGGAGCGAATCCACCTTGGAATTGGCTAGGATTTCGTTTACAGAACTCATTCAACCCTCGGTACTCGGCCGGCTCGGGTGGAGCTAAAGGTTGTGAACTAGGACTTTGTGTTGTGCTCTGGTTCAGGCTATGCAAGTTATCATTAACTTGTTGCAGTGCAGCCACCATCTGAGCCAACAGCTCATTCGGAACATTCTGGCTCGTTCCTCTTCCTCTTCCTCTTCCAGCCATTTCTTAACCTGCACTCATTGATGGTTAGCACACAATTCTAACTAACATATTTCATATTATCACATAGTCTCATAGTACATTACATGTCACTACACCAAGGCTATATGATTTTTAAACAGTCAATTCACACAATTGCAACTAGTTAAATCACAAACATGTTACAAAGAAGCAAGTAAGGCCATACCCTAGGCCGTAGAATTAACTATGTTCTGATACCATATTGTAAAGACCCAAAATTCTACACTTGAAATTTTTTCTTCAATTACAACCCTTTGTGCTAGATTTCCCATGTTACATCCTACATACACTTTCTTTAACCTTTTAAAACATCCATTTCTTTAATTGTCTAATAACTCTAATCATACCACACTACCCTTAATACCAGAAAAACATAATTCATATTACTATCTCCAGGTAACTACCGCATACCACTATCTATGGGTTTCCAAAATACCCATAGCTACAAATATCCAGAGTTACAGATATCCAAAATTACAATTATCCAAAGTAGCATTTAGTCAGTCACAATACAAAAAGGGCAAAATAAGGAATCCATGTTTTAAGCTCCTAAGGCGTCAAACCAAGAATCCTCAACTAACCAGTTTACTTGCAATTGGATTATAAACGACAAATACACACAACATACAAAGGAGTAAGTCATTAACTCAAATAATGTTATTATAAGATAATCCACATGTTAAAGGGGTCAGTAAAACCATTTTAAATTCATTTATCGCTACATAACTTGAGCCAAAGTTTGCTACATAACTTGAGCCAAAGTATCGCTACATAACTTGAGCCAAAGTTTGCTACATCGCTTGAGCCAAAGCTTGCTACATAACTTGAGCCAAAGATTCGCTACATAACTTGAGCCAAAGTTTGCTACATAACTTGAGCTAAAGTTTGCTACAATGCTTGAGCCAAAGCTTGCTACATAACTTGAGCCAAAGCTTGCTACATAACTTGAGCCAAAGCTTGCTACATAACTT